CCTCTGACAGCATCCTTAGATATCCCCTAGTCTCAGCTCAGTTCCCTTCTATTATGAACTTCCATACCAAAGGCCATCTCTAATCTTTGTCCTGTACACCATCTAGTTCCGTATGCTCCCTTCTAACCTAGCTTCCTCTACCCAATCAGGCCTCCTTCTAAAATGTGCCCCTAAGACCATCCTGCTCCAACCTTCCAAGTTTTATGGGTCCTTTACCAGCTAGGATTCCTCCTCTGTCCAGTCTTCTTTCTTTAGGCAGACTGTTCCCCAGCCAGTGTCTCTTTTCCCATTTGAGACCTCTTCTTATGCAAGTACCTCTTGTCTGGTAAGGTGATTAGTTTGAAATAGTTCAACATTCAATAGCCATGAACCCCTTTATCACCTGTCACAACCTTCCAACCTGGCCTCTTGCCCCAGTTTCCCTTTATGTCAGTCTGTCCCTGTCCCTATCCTGGACCTTTTCCAATGGTAGGCATCCTCCTTTAGCCAGGTCTTCTTTCCCAGTCTGTGGCCCCTACCCCACTGGACACCCCCCTTGCCCACCAGCTGGGTGTTTCTCTTTCTAAGCCTCTTTCATTACAACACAGTAAAACATGTTTTCCCATTTCTAGAGCCCTTCACTGGCCTAGGCCCAAGACCCCAGGCATGTTCCCTCTTCCAGCCAGGTTCTCTTCACCATGTATGCTCTCATCCTGTGTCCCCCGGCCTATCCCACTGTTTCCTACCACACCTTGTTCATCCTTCCAGGCTGTCTCCAACCCGTTTGCATCTTCTTTCCTATACAGGTCCCCTTCTGCAGACTACATCTCCCTTCCTGGCCTGTTCTTTTTCTATGCTCCCTCCTGAGGAGAGTGTTCCTTCCTCTCTAACCCACATTCCCTTTCCTTCTGCGTTCCTATTCCCATGAAGTATTTCTTTTCACAATGTATCTAGGGCCAAGTTTTCCCAGAGCTTCCCCAATCTCCAACCAGCTGGCTAGTTGAAACTTTTTTCATATAGACCTTCCCACAATGAGCTATCTGGCAGATTTCCATATTGAGAATACCCCAAAAGAAAACCCAGTGGCATTTCTTTCCCTCCTGCTAGACAAGTGAGGTTTTCAAAGTAAAACTTCTTTTTAAATGTAGTGATAACAATATGCTTAAATGAAACTCATATATTTCAGTGAGTGACACAGCAATTTAGGACAGCCACAGGAGTTTCTCCTTACTACACTCTCAATTTACCTCAGGCTACTACCAGGATTGCGGGTGCAGTTCTGCTCACCAAAGTCTCATCTGTTCCCTACCACATCTGCTTCTGAACTCTGAAGAGTCTTCTACTCAGGCAGATCCTGGGACATAAGCTCTATGTGAACTAAGAGTCAGCTACATTAAAATAAAGAAACAGGTTTTTTTGTTAAAGTTTTATTTATTTTTAACATGTTGGCATTCTTTCAAAAATGTCTGAACCTACATATTTTACTTTGGAACTTCCAGAATTTTAAAATGACCTCACTCACCGAAATACAGGATCTGAATATTTTGTTTTAAAATGCTACCAATAATTTCACTTTTACAATCCTTTCAGTATATTTCAGACAACAACAAACCTCAGACACCCACCAAATTACATCATTCTCTTTTTTTGTCTTACAACAGTTTTTTTGTTTTTTAAATTTTTTTGTTTGTTTTTTGTTTTTGTTTTTTTTTTGGTGCTGGTCCTGGGGCTTGAACTCAGGGCTTGTACACTGCTCTTGAGCTTTTGTGTTCAAGACTAGTGCTCTACCACTTTGAGCCACATTTCCAGCTTTTTAGTAGTTAACTAGAGATAAGAGTTTCATGGACTTTCTTGCCCGGACTGGCTTTGAAATGTGATCCTCAAATCTCAGTCTCCTAAGTAGCTAGGATTATAGGCATGGACCACCAATGCCCAGCTTCATAACAATTTTTGATACAACAAAATTATTTACTTTAAGATTAAAAAGAACTATTGAAATATATTTTTCTAAGAACCATCTATTCCTTATTCCTAAGAACTGAGAAACGTCATTGAATTCAGATGTTTCACATTACAAACCAGATCATATAAGAGAGTGTGAACTTGTATAAGATCAGAGTATTTAGTATCTCTAGGAATACTTACCAGGAAGATACCAAGGATGAGACCTGGAGGATTGTGTGAAGCTAGCCCCAGCAAGAAGTTTGAGACTTCCGCCAGTGGCTCATGCCTATAATAGCTACTCAGGAGGCTGAGATCTAAGAATCGCAGTTCAAAGCCAGCCCGGGAAGGAAAATCCATGAAACACTTATCTCTAATAAGCCACCAGAAAACTGGAAGTGGCACTATAGCTCAAGTGGTAGAGTGCTAGCCTTGAGCTGAAGAGCTGAGGGACAGCGCCCAGGCCCTGAGTTCAAGCCCCATGACCGACAAAAAAAAAAAAAAAAAAGAGACTTCGTCTCTAATTAACCAGCAAAATGCTGAGCTGGAGGTGTGGCTCAAAAAGGGTACCAGCTGAGGGAGAGAACTAGCTCTGATCTCAATCCCTAGCACTGGCATAAAAAAGGCAATAAAAGCCAAAAAAAAGTTTAAAAAGGGAAAAAACATCTTATTCACTTTCTGTAAGTAAAACTATCAACCATCTAAACAGTCACCTTTCTTTCTGTCTTTAATACAGGACATTAAATTTTTGTCTTTTGAATATTTAAACTCTAGCTTATCAGTTCATTTAAATTCACTTTCTATATTCTTACCTTTTAAACTTAAAAGCATTAGAATTTAGCTACCAGCTTTCCAACTAAAATCCATTAGCAACTATATGTATGAATAAAAAACCATTGAAATTATTATCAAAAGTCACATTCATATCCAAGAATTTTTTTAAAAAAACAAACTATTTTCAAATGTCTCATTCACATTCAAGACATCTTTTCAGTAGCCCAACAAAAGTGAAAAAGCAAAAGCAAACCAATGAACAGTTTGAGATTACCTCCCCCCCCAAAAAAAAACACCCCAACATGAGAGAAGGCACATAAATGCCACCTTTATCCCTGTCAGGAAAATCTAAGTTATCAAGCTTTTGTATCTACACTACTTATTTATCTGAGTTAAAATCATGGAAAATCAAAAAATGGAGCAAAAAAGCCACGTTTAGCCCAAAGTTAGTTGAAATCAAACTAACTTTCAACTGGGGAAGGAGGCAAAGATTTCTAAGGGTCAGAAGAGGTGAGACCTCATACTAACTAGGCCTCTTGGGAATTTATGTAGAAGCCGCCATTTCCCACCTCCACCGTGAGAAAGACCTATGAGGGATTGAGCAATTATGAGGTTACATTTAAGTAACACAGGGACAGGGAATACAGGTAGCAGTAAAGAAAACAGCTACTAACTAGTCCTACAGAGAGATGTGGTGGGTGACAGCAGTTCTTACTATGACCACGACGATGATGGCAACAGTGACGATGATGATGGTAGCAGTGGCTGTAGTGAAGTTAATGGCAACAAAAGCAGTGTTGGTGACAGTTCTTACTATGATCACAAGAACAATGACAGTGGTGGGTGACAGCAGTTCTTTCTATGACCATAGGACGATGGCGATGGTGACGATGATGACAATAATGACAACGAAAGTGGGTGACAGTTATCAGTATGACCACAAAAAGGACAAAGAAAACAATAGGTGAGAGCAGTTCTTACTACAACCACCAGGATGAAAATGAAGATGACTGTGACAACGGTGAAAATGATGATGGTGGCAGCAGCTGCAATGACAATGATGCTAGGTGACAGCCGTTTTGACTACTACCACAAGGATTATGATGATGATGGAAGTTGAAAGCAGGACAATGGTGATGATGGTGATGATGATGGTGGCAGCAGCAACTGTGGTGGTGATGGTGACAGCAATGATGACCAGTAGGTGACCAGTTCTTACTATGACCTCAAGGACAACAATGACAACTGTAGTGTCAGATGGTGATGATGAAAATGATGATGAAATGATGAAGGTGGTGACAGCAGCAGCTGTGGTTGCGGCAGTGATGACAGTGTGAGTGATAGTAGTTCTTTTCTTTTGTTGGTTGTAGGAGTTGAACTCAGGGCCTGAGTGCTGTCCTTGAGTACTTTTACTCAAAGCTAGCACTCTACTATTTTGAGCTACAACTCCACTACTGGTCTCATGGATTTTCCTGCCCAGGCTGGCTTTGAACTGCAGTTGTCACATCTCAACTTCCTGTTAGCTAGGAGTACAGGCATGAGCTATCTGCATCTGGAATGACAGCAGTTTTTAATGCTATCACAAGGATGATGACAATGTTGAGTGATAGCAGTTCTTACTACAACCACAAGGATGATGACGATGGTCATGGGGGTGACGATGATGGTGGCAACAACAATGATGATGGTGGCAGTGATGGTGGCCGGGATGATGATAACAGTGGGTGGTAGCATCCTTTCAATGACCACTAAGATGATAATGATGTTGACAATGATGGGTGATAGTAGTTCTTATGACCACTAGGACGATGACAATGACGACGGTGATGATGATGGTGGCAGCAGCGGTGGTGACCAGGGTGATTATGACCACAACAGTGAGTGATAACAGTTCTTACAATGACTACTAGGATGATGATGACAGCCACGACGATGACAGCAATGAGGGTGAATAACAGTAGTTCTTACTATGACCACAACCAGGTCAACCAAGATGACAACGATGATGGTGACAGTGGGTGACAATTCTTACAAACCACTCGAAAGATGATGGCAGATGGCAGTGACAACGGTGGTGACCTTGTTGATGGGTGACAGTTCTTACCACGATCACAAGGATGAGGATGCCAATGACGACAACGGTGATAATGAGGATGGCGGTGGAAGCGGTGGAAGCAGTGGTCGTGGAGGCGGTGAAGTTGATGATAGCTGGCGGCAGCAGCTGTGGCGGGGCGGGGACAGCTGTGGCGGTGGTGGCGGCTGTGCTGTTGGCCTCCATAGTGGCTCCCGTGGCCTGGTGGAGAGATCTAGTAGAGGCGTGGGGCAATTCCGCCCACAGCGCCGGCTTCGAGCGGCTTGACGGAGTTGTAATGCTCACCGAAGCTGCAGGCGTGGTGCAGGTACACCAAAGTGAGTGGCTTCTTGTTGTACTCCTCTCCAATCATGATGATGGGGGACTCTGCCTGAACTACTTCGATGGGGGTCTGCAGGATGTGAGACAGCGCCGTCAGCTCCAGCTGGCCTCCCCATGAGCCCCTCACGATGTTGTCGCAGTAGGTCTTGAAGTCATCGTGGGTGTAACCGTCGCCAGGCTCTGCATCAGTAAAGAAAGGCAAGAAATCATCGACGTGCTTCTGCATGTAATCAGCAGTACGGCGGCGCAAGCTATCGATGGTGACTGGGAACGGCAGTTGATCTTGAATGGCCCGGAACATACAGTGGCCATCGGCTGGGATATCCTTCATGGCCAGATTTTTGGCCCCGAGGATGGCTGCGACCTTTTCTTCTTCCTGACGACGGTAATTGGACAAATGTTCAGTCTCACTCTCGTCGACCCTCTCTTGGCGTTCTTTTCTGAGGGCCGCTTTTCTTTCCCTTCTTTTTTCTGCTCGGCAAACACGAGGAGGTTGGTTTTCTAGATTGATTTTGGCCAGATTTTTGGTGACAGACTCGACGTCTTGGTCCTCAGGCGGTAGAAACTTCTCCAACTCTTGTTGGTGCCGCTGTTCCAACTCGGCCTCAAGGCGAGCCACATCCTGGAGCATCTGCTTTCGTCTCTTTCTGTCAGTTTTTGGGACTGTGTTCTTCATGGCGCAGATCTGATCTTGTAGTTCTTTTCTTTCACGCCGGTGGCGGCGTAAAATCCGCTGACGGTTGTTCTGAGAATCTTCCATGATGTTCCTCTAACGCCTCAAGCCTCTTAACTGCCTACAAACGCTCGCCTGGCTGGCAGCAACCGTTCTGTCACGTGAGGGACGTTCTGTCTTTTAACGGACACGGACACTCATCTCGTCAGGGGCTGCTTGTCCCGCCCCATTCTCAGCCCTTTCTGCTATTGGCTCCTCTCTCTGGGGGTGTGCTCTCAAACCCACCTGACCTTATGATTGGTTTCTAACAGACAATGTGTCCACGCCCTTAGCAACTCCCGCTTCCGTTTCAGCAGCTTTCAAGTATCTTCCCTAAGATTGTGCCTTTCAACAAAGTGTGCTTTGTAATGAGTCTTGTAGAATTTTTCTGTGCTTCTTACTGCTGTCTTCATTTCCAAGTTTGGATACAACTCAGGCACAGGCCATGCTTGATAACCACATGATAAATACAGTCATCTGAATGTGTTCTGACCCTGAACTTGGCATTATTCCTAGTGTCCAGGAGGCAGTGTGTCTTTCTCCAGTTGTTCAGCTCCCCTCCACAGTGAACCCATAATCTTTCTGTATCAGAACAAAGACATTTACTTACATTCCTAGGAACACAGAGTCCTTTTAATTTATGCTTCAAATTCACCCTGTCCTATCCCAGTGCAATATGGCAGCCTTTTCCTTAAAGCCCTCACTAGAAATAAGCAGATCTTTTGTCTTATTACAAGAGTTCATTTACCCCAACCCATCTTTCCCTCCCCCTTCTTCTAGGCCCCCAGCTGCCAAAATGAGCTCTCTCATATGCCCATGACATGTTCATCAAGCCACTTTATTCTGATTATTTTGAGTCTTCAAAAGCTCTAAAAAGAAAATAAAGGCCCCAAATATGCTCTCTCCCATCCTGCCTCAGCCTCCTAAATTTGATGGTGATTTTGGAGATGGAGTCTTACAGATTTATCTGCCAGGGCAAACCTCAAACTTCCATCCTCTAAGTTTTAGCCTTACGAGTAGCCATTAACACCTAGCTATTTTATTACTAAGTATAAAAATTCTTCATTTCATCCTGATTTTTATGCTACATACTCCAATCATCTATTTTTTAAGTTGTTTTTTGTTTTGGAGTCTTAACCAAGAAATCCCTATAGACCTGAGCTCATGAAGCCTTTTCTATTTTTCTTCTAAGAATTTTACAGCTTAAGATCTGATATTTTAAACTTTAATCTATTTTGACTTGCTTTTTGTGCTTGATGTAACATAATGGGTATTTTTCTTTGTTTTACTTGTGGATAATGTTTTCACAGCACCATTTATTTGACTGTCCTATTTTTATCATGCATTTTTGGCATAGTTGTGGAAATGCAGTTGGTCATATATGTGGACCTGTATTTCTAGGTTTTCTAACAATAGACAAAATGAGAATAGGTTACATAACGGAACAAATATTTGCAAGCCACTTATCAAAGAATTAATAGCTAAAATATATAACAAATGACTGGGTACTGTAGGTCATAGGTCAGTAGTGGAATACTTGCTTTATATGCACAAAGCCTTGAATTTTATCCTTAGCACTAACAAAGGGGTATGCATTTAAATGTTCGTGTATGCATGTGTGTGCATGTGTATTATGACTCATTAGCAAAAGGACCAAATAGAGATTTTTAAAAGAATGATATCCAAATGGCAAATAGGTACTTTTCTTTTTTTGCCAGTCCTGGGTCTTGAACTCAGGCCTGGACACTGTCCCTGAGCCTCTCTGTGCTTAAGGCTAGCACTCTACCATTTGAGCCACAGCTCCACTTCCTCCTTTTTCTGCTTATGTGGTAGTGAGGAATTGAACCTAGAGCTTCATGCATGTGAAGCAAGCACTCTACAATTAAGCCACGTTCCCAGCTTAGATTTATGTTTTGAGTAGTTAGAATTATAGGCATTAACCACCAGTGCTTGGCTTAGTTTGAGATTTTGGATGAAGGTTATATTTTTTTGGTCTAGGGATATCCAGTTGTTCTCATAGTAGTTATTGAAGAAAGAAATGCTTACTGCATTGAATTGGTTGTTCACTTTTACATAAAAAAGGTATATTTTGTAATGTCTGTTCCTTTCATCTATGTGTATATCTTTTCTCCAACATCTTATAGTCTTTATTATAACAGCTATATAAAAATGAAATCAGGTAAGCCATTTTATCTAACTTTATTCTTTTCTTTCAAAAGTGTTTCAGTAATCTACTTCTTTTGCCATCATGTATAAATTTTAGAATGTTCTGGTTGATAGCTATAAAAATCTTGGAACTTTCATAGGAACTACATTCATGTTGTACATCAATTTAAAGAAAACTGCCATGTTAACTATGTTGTCTTCCAATCCATGAACACCTATGTATATACTCCATCTATTCACATGGAAATTTCCATTGATTTCTCTCAAGAATGCGTTATTCCTTTCACCATATAATTCCTGTACATATTTTGTTATATTCACACTAAAAAAAAAATCCCTTTCTTTGAGTGATTATTGATATCTTATTTTTTATTTTTTAATATTTTTTTGGTTCAAAATTTCATTTTTATTATCTATCAGTAGTTGTGCAAAGAGGCTTCAATTCAACATGTCAATTTATGAGTAACTGCATCTTGATCAATGCCACCTTAGTATTTTATTTTTATTTTTTATTTTTGGCCAGTCCTGGGGCTTGAACTCAGGGCCTGGGGAACTGTCTTTGAGCTTCTTTTACTTAAGGCTAGCACTCTACCACTTGAGCCAAAACACCACTTCCAGGTTTTTCTGTTTATGTGGTACTGAGGAATTGAACCCAGAGCTTCATGCATGCAAGGCAAGCACTCTACCACTGGGCCACATTCCCAGCCCTAGTATTTTATTTTTAATTTCAGTGTCATGTTTGTTGCTAAGATGGAACTATAAGGAACTACAGCGGGATTTCTATGCTAATCTTTGCTTAACTCACTCATTTCTAGGGGGTTGTCTTGATAGATTTCTTAGAATTTTCTACATAGAAAATAATGTCATTTGTGAATAGGGCCAATTTTACTTCATCCTTCCCAATCATAAAAAATGCCTTTTATTCCCCTCTCTAAACTCACTGGCCTAGCTAGGCATTGAACTACTATGTTGGAGAAAAATGGTGAGGGCAGACATCAGTTGTTTGCTTTTATCTTAGAATGATGTTTCAATTTTTATTTTTAACTGTAAGTCATATTTTTTGTAGATGCTCTGTAACAAGTTGAAGATATGTTCCTCTAGCCTGGAAAGATTTTGGCATGAAAGCATATTGAATTTCATTGAATACTTTCTGTACTAATTGATATGTCATGTGATTTGTTTCTATTAGTCTACTAATATAGGTTACCATTTAGTGGTTATCACATATTGAACCAGCCTTTAATTACAAAATAACCCTTGTTTAACTATAATTTTAAATTCAATTTATGTGTTTCCTAATTCTATTTGTTAATTTAAAAAAATTCTTAAATATATAATAATGAGGGGTATTTGTAATATTCCTTCTTGGTATGGTTTTGTTTAGTTTTGGTATTAGGAAAATATTAAGTTGAAAAAATGAACTTGAAAATGTTCACTTTTCTCTTTGCGGGTAAAAGATTATTTATAATCATGTATATATTTGATAGGAGTATCCAGTGAAACTATCTGAACCAAGAGATTGACTTTTGGAAGTAAAATTTGAAAGTTTGTTTTCTCTTTTTTCTTTTTTTGTCATTTTTGGGGCTTGAACTTGGGGCCTGGACACTGTTCCTGACCTTTTTGCTCCAGGCTACCTCTCTACCAATTTGAGCCACAGTGCCACTTCTGGTTTTCTGGTGGTTAACTGGAAATAAGAGTTTCATGGACTTTCCTGCCTGGGCTGGCTTCGAACCATGATCCTCAGATCTTAGCCTTTTGAGTAGTTAGGCTTACAGGCATGAGTTACCAGTGAGTGTCCAGCTCAAAAGTTTATGTTTTCTAAAGACTTGCTCTAAAGAATATACTCCTTTGATCTCACTCTGTATAAATGCCTAGAGACCTGTTTAATTTATCATGTCCCAGTGTATTTTTTTCTTTTACCATCCAGTGTGTTTACGTGTAGAGGAAAACTATGCAACCTATGCTTCTCTGGGTCTGGGTTAGCTATGTGCATCTGATCATATAAAATAATATTTATCATGGGCTGGGAAGGTGGCTTAGTGGTAGAGTGCTTGCCTCGCATGCATTAGGCCCTGGGTTTGATTCCTCAGCACCACATAAGCAGAAAAAGCCAGAAGTGGTGCTGTGGCTCAAGAGGTAGCCTTGAGCTGAAGAACTGAGGGACAGCGCCCAGGCCCAGAATTCAGGCCCCACGACTAACAACAATAATAATAATAATATTTATTAAAATAAACTTCAGGAAATGTAAACTTTTTTTTCTTTGTTGTAGCTTTTGTTTTCCTTTTGTCTTTGTTCATTTATCTGTTTGGGGGAAAGTAAGAGGGCACACAGAAATGGTGGGACAAAGGGTGAACAAATGAATCCGTCATACCCACTAAACACTATTTTTTAAATGATCTATGCAACTTGTGGTTGAAGACAGAGGAAAAAAACTGGGAGAGAAAAAGGGAAGGGGTAACACTGTTAAAAAAGAAATGTACTCTTTACCTGACTTAGTTAACTATAACCCCTCTGTATATCACCTTTACAATAATAATAAAAAATTAAAAATCAGAATTGCTCCATTTGTTTTAATTTTGTCTGTGTAGAGTTATTTGTAGTATCCTATTATTCTTGATGTTTAGAGCATCTGTAATGATATTTCCTGCTTTATTCCTGAAATTAGTACTTTTTGTCTTCATTCTTTAATTCTTGGCTGCTTGTCTATCTTGCTAGAGATTTTTTTTTTATCAATTTCATTTTTCTTTTCAAAGAACTTATTTGTTTTACTTTGAATAACTATTCTATTTTTTATTTCATTTTTTTCCTCTTGCTTTTGGTTTAATTTTATTATATTTATTTTTTGTTCCTTTTTTCTCCTTTCAATACTAGGGATAGGTCTC